CATATTGGTTCAGCCCTCCACAACAGTCCCAGTTTCTCATGTGCCCCCTTGAATACATTAATTGCCCACCCCTGCCCTAATGGGCACCTTATATTTAGCCCTGAATGCAACTTTAATCAGGACCGCTATTTCAGCATAGCTGTACTATAATATCTCTTGAAGGCCTGTTCATCATCTGTATTGCCATACTTTGCTGTATCCAGTCTCTTATTGAGGGCTGTCTCAAAGATTCCGGTGTACTATTCTAATCTTGAGATTATTATGGTGGCTTTACTGCTGTTAGCAAGATAGGATCTGTGCAAAAACCGAGTCTGAACTTGGACTGGAGAAGACCTAATATAACTAAACCTCAAAGCCAGATCATTCCAGATAAATTAGGGGGCTAATTTATCTTGCAGATGTTTCATTACCCAAACTAGGTAACATGGTCAGTGCTAGTCAGTCCTATTAGTGCATATAGAAAAATAATTTATTTTAAGAAAGTTAATTCCTATGTATTTATCAGTGCTCCTGTTATCACATACACCATGGTACGTATAACACTATTACGTTCACCACTGCTTCCAATGATTATTGAAGAGGGAGAAATCATTTAATTATAAATAACTTGTATTCGAATTATTCAGTTTAAGAATGTGTGTGTTTCTGAATGAAAAATACAGAAATGTAAGCATCTGGCAATGTGGGGTGTTGTATTTTTTCTTTTTTCTTTTTGGTCACATGTGGAATCTTAATTGCAGACAATAAAAGCTTTCCTGCCAGCTATGATGAAAAAGAACCATGGTCATATTGTCACTGTTGCATCAGCTGGTGCGCTTGTGCCGGTTCCTTTTCTATTGCCTTATTGGTATGTATGAGAGATTTTTTTCTATCGAAATCAAAAGATAGTAGAGCTCAATTGTGGTCTTAAGTTGAGGACTACCTGTACAGCCCACCCTGCTCTTTGTTGTGATTCCTTGCCAGCCAGCGGACCCAGCAGCTGAGTCTGGGGAAGCAGAGGAGGAGGAGGGGTCTGGAGTGACATCAGAGTCAGAGGAAGGCTCTGAGGAGCTCCAAGGCTTACAGTCTGACGAGAAGCCTGGCCCCTCTACTTGCGCTCAGGCTGAGACACAGCTGTGCTGGGAGTCTGAGTTGGACAGTGATGAATCACAGCTGGGAGATATCCAGGATGCACGAAAACGCCAGCAAGAAAAGAGAGTAAGACAGAGGAATGCAATGGGGCGGCTCCAAAGGCAAAGGAGAAGGCATTAGGAAGCCACGCCTTGGCTGCATAATAAAAGGGAAGGTGTGGGAGGCGCTTGTTGCCAAAGGCAACCGTTCGTGTTGAGGATCGAGTTTCTGTGAACTGTGTTTGTTTTCCTTGGACATTGACTCAGGTCTGTGAATAATAAAAGGGGATTGGTTTTTTCCTATGGTTCCAGCCTGCTTGTTGGAAGAGGGGTTTCTCCTTGTGAACTTAACAAGGACCCACAGAGACTAGGACAGAACTCTCTTCCCAAAGTTTATCTGAGTGTAGGGAATTTTTTAGAATCAATTAGGATTTGATTAAGAATTTCTGTTGAATCTATCTTAGTTTTCCCACTTAGTGAGAATGTCTAGCATTCGCCCGCATTTGCTTTTCTTTTGAAAATAATCTCAGGAGACTCATTGTAATATTTAGTTTATGTACAAATGCCCAGGGTGGACTATTTCAACAGAGACCCAAAATCTATAATTCTCAATTCAAATTTACAACTAACATTGTGAGAAACCTGCCCAAACTCCAACTTTTGTTTCTTAGCTGATTCAGTCTGCACCAAACTACTTCCCCCCCCTTTTGCTCCTTTCTTAATCAGCTTCCACATCCAGTTTCCAAGGAGGAAATAAAAACAATGAATAACATCTGCCTATAATCTTTATGCACCATTTTAGTGTCCATAGCAATAGTTCACTAGCCTTTTTCTGTTAATGTTGGGAATTATTCATATTTAGAAACTGAAGATTGGGGACTCCTTGGTGCTCTCTGAGCTTGGTTGTTTTCTTGCAGGTTTTATTATCCAGACAATCATTTGTCTGAAACGGTACAGGGTTTCCTGTTTGAGCAGGGGGTTGGTCTAGAAGACCTCCAAGGTTCTACTCTACTCTACTCTACTCTATTCTATTCTATTCTATTCTAGAATAAAAGCTAGGAAACATCTTCAGTGCTAGAAGTGGAATTTGCTCTCTGTTTATACAGGTAGTCTTCAACTTACAACTGATTGCTTAGCAACTGTCTGAAGTGTCAAGGGAGTCCCCCAGGCTATTTTAACCCAGATTTGAAATCCCAATGCTCCCCTTCGCAATCCACGGTTCAACCCTAAGCTACATATATTTTCTTTTAACACTGAAGTTGAGATGAGAGCAGAAAGGTTCATGAGAAGAGAAAACTATCAGTCCAGAGTTGCATAAAATTCTAGTCAATATTACGTTGCTTCCCTTTGTAAGCTTGTTTATAAGCCTCTTGAAGGGCTTACTGCATTTATCTAAGTGGGTGATTATTATCCATTCACACCCTGCATATCAGACACATATCAAGCCAGACTTCCATGGACATCAAAGCTCTATATTGCAAGGGCCAGGTTATTTGAGGGACTGCCTTACCTCAATGACATCCCCCCATCCCATCAGGTCCAGCAGGAAGAGAAGCATGTTGCTGGTCCCTTAAGCCACAGAGTTTCATTTGGTGGGGGACCCACTTTTTGGAATATCATTTCCCCTGAGGTGAGGTTTGCCCCAATTCTGTTGCTCATCTGGAAAACCCTCAAAGTTTTGGGCCTAGGAATCCTATGGGAAAGTGGAGCTCATGAAGGGCCTGTAATAGGTTTGATTGCATTCTTTCTGTCTTTTTATTGTTACTGTTTTTAACTGGTTTTAACTCTTTTTAATGGAAGAAATAAAATTCTTTTCTCCCCTAATTCTCCTCTCCTATTTAGCTCAAGCAAGTCTGCCGCTTTAGGGCTTCACAAAGACTTCACCAAAGAATTATCTGCTTTGGGAAAAGATGGGATCAAGACTACCTGCTTGTGTCCATTTTTTGTAAACACGGGGTTTGTAAAAAACCCACAATCAAGGTAAGAGACAAGATGGGTCCAGTTAGCATAGAGCAGTTTCCCAACCGTGGCAACTTTAAGACATATGAACTTCAACTTCAACGTGCTGGCTGGGGAATTCTGGAAGTTGAAGTCAAGCTATCTTAAAATTGCCAAAGTTGAGAAATACTAGTTTACATGCACATTGCTAACCATTTGAAACCAACAGAATCTGGAGAGCATATTTTGGAGTCTCTCCCAAAATGGCTGCCATGGAAAAGAGTAGCTGAACTTTTCCCCCACCGTGCCCAGAAGGTTCTTCCTTCCATCTTCCAACTTTATTTTTCTGGACTATGTGGGCAGATTTCTGAACCAGACTCTGGATTACCATTCTCTCTCCTTTCCCCCCCCCCAGCTCCAATTCCCCCCCCCCTTTTGTATAAATGCTTCCAGGGCCAAAAATATTTCTATAAATAAAAATAAGTTATTATGGCAGCTACAAAAGAGGAAGTGGTGTTCATATCCGAGCAGATAGAATCAGTATCACTGATCACTGTAGTCCACAAGACCCAGCAGTCACTTCTTTTAAAATAAAATGAATTAATAGCTCACTATTAATAACATCAACAATTACAATTCCAGAATAATACCTATTCTGACACCTGAGGCAGTTGCAAGGAGGCTCATGGATGGGATACTCTGCAATCAAAACAAGATTGTTATGCCATTCTCCGTTACAATGTGCCCTTGGATGGAAATGTATGTATGCAGGGTTCTTAAGGGCTGAACTTCTGCACTGACAATTAGAATTAAAATACATGTTATGGCATATCAAAAAATAAGCAGTGAGATTTTTGTTTAATGTTCCTCTATTCTTTTTTCCCCAGAATTCTTCCTGAGCGTGCATTGATGGCTTTGGAAAAGATTCTGGATATCAGTTTTGATGTGAAGAAACAAGAATGAACCAAAGTATCAAATCTTCCCAAGCTTTCCAAATTTTAGGTTATGTGAAATCACATTTCTAATATCATTGTTTAATACTCCTTACGTAACCTGCAAAAGAAATTCCAACCACTATTCTTCACAAATTTATATTAAAATAACTTTTTCAAGTATTAGTATAACACTCTGATGAGTTTATTTCTTCCTGAAATATAAAGAAGACATAAACGTAACTTCACACCCACTGATTTCAAAGCACTTTCTTAGATAAAACCGATCTCCAAATTCTGTGTGATCTTGCTTCGTTTTTGTTTTACTTATTTGATCTCACGAGTGTTTAAGGAAATTAACGGGCACATTATCTGAGAAGAAGTGACTTCCAGGTTGGGAGCAACATGTTCATTCGTTAGGAACAGAAAACACTCTCTGAAGAAAAACCAAATTGGAAAGGCAGGCAGGAAATGATATGGAAGCAAGACATACAAACAGTACTTTTTTTCTAAAAAAAAAAAAGGTGCTGGAACTCACACACGTCATACAACCCACCTTGCCTACCCTATAAGGTTCCATCCAAAAAAGGTGCCAGAACTCTGCATAAAATATTGTATTTATCCTAGCTGATAAAAATCTTATCTCAGTTTCAAGTAGACAAACCCTTTGGCACTTGGGAATGAGATGAATTAATGTGAGGAAGTAGAGGAGGACTTTAATTTATGAGAAAAGAGGCCACACAGCTCAGGAGCTGTTTGAAAGTAACTCTGCCTTAATTAACCTCTTGGGAATTTACTCTTAAAAGGTTTCAAGACTTTTGTTTTTACATTCTCATGTTACCTATATTTATCTGAAATGTGTGATTCTCATATCTTTGGTTAGCCAGTTAAACAGCCTTGACAAATAGGGTGTGGCCAAACAGAGGAGTAGTTAAGGAATATTGGGAGTCCTTGTCATTCCCATTTCCCTTGGTCACTAAGCGGTGTTTGTTGCAGCCATTTTACTCCCAGCATTTGGCTCCTCTGTTCATTTTCCTAAATTCTTTCCATATTAAGTTCCACCCATCCTACTTTTGTTACCAGCCTTTCTCCAAGCTTGCAACAAGGTAGAAGAGAGCAGAGCAGAAGTCCATTATTTATCTTGGGAGGGGTAGCAAATCTATTAATTCCTTATTAATGGAGATTCCTCAGAGATGAGGAATTATAACCAACCAACTGCAATTGGCTAATGTAGGGGTCTTCAAACGTGGCCCTTTTATGACTTGTGGACTTCAACTCCCAGAATTCCTCAGCCAGCGTGCCTATTCAGAAAAGCTCAACTAATGGGTATGGAAAAGGACTGCAGAAAGCTTCAGGAGAGCTCCCTCCAGTTTCACCCCACGGATCTACCTGTTAGGTAATCTGAAGCTCATTAAGCCTACTATTCAAAGCATCAGACTAAACTCGTCTAATCACGCCCTACAGAAATGTCAAGTGACTTGGAAATGTAAATAGAAAGAAGGAACTTTTGATCTGCAACAAAGCAAAGAAATATTGGAGTAGGATTCATATTCTAATACAGAAGATTCCTATAGTGAATATAAAGATATAACCAGAAACCCAAACATGCTTTTTCCAAAAGACAACTGGATTTTATTGAGGTTTTTTTTTTACCTTTGAACTTAACTGAAGAAGTTTCTGGGATAAGAAGCGAAAAAATTTCAAAGAAGAAACAAACCATGAAAATCCGGTTGCCTTTTGGAAAAAGCTACCTTTGGGACAATCATGAACTGAATGATTGAGAATCTCCATCGACATAAAACCAGAGAGTTTTCTTTCAGGCTTAATGGACAGGACAAAGAGTGATCAGCAGAAAAGGAGAAGGGGCCACTGTAGTACCCACTGGCTGGACACTATAAAAGATATCACTGAGATGACCATGGCAGATCTGAAGGAGGTTGTGCAAGACAGGGGCAAGGAGAGTGCTGGTCCATAGAGTGGCTGAGGAACAGGCACAACTGAATGGCTGACAATGACGATGACAAAGAACTTGGGGGGAAAATAGAATTTTGATGCTACATATGCTGACAGCAGCAAGAATACTCTATGCACAAAAATGGAATAGAAAGGGGGTGGACAATTAATTTTATCAAGGGGTCACAAGAGAAACTGGGACTATTGTGCAAGGCTGAACCAATAGGACCAACACATCATTCTGAAGATGTGTAGGCATGCACACATGCACATACATATTTTTTTTAAAAAAAATAGTAGTTGCCTTCCAAATGAAGCAATGCAGTTGCGTTGCATGATAATGTACACTTATTTACATTTGATTTCTAATTTCCAATTGACCGCAATTGGGTTGAACAGGGACAGCCAGGCGTGGTAAACTTCCCAGATATGAGGTAGAGTAGAAGCTATCTATACTTAATGAAAACTCAAATTCTTCCTAAAGTTGATCCACATGCAGCCGGATAGTTTTCTTACATAAGAATTTTCCAAGCTACTAATTTCCTAAATAGGAATGTCATTGCTCTTTTTTGCTAGATATATAATTTAACTTATAATTTAATTGTATTCATTTAACCTACAATTTAGTTTGTAATTTGGGCAATTTCTCACTTGCATATGAGTAATTTTAAAAAGGAAAGAAATGAACACAGACAACCCAGCCAAGGAAAACATGTGCCAAAGTTTATGTTTATATGCATTTAAAAATAAATTTAAATAAAAGCAGTGCTTTTTTTGTAAAAAAAAAAAAAAAAAAAAAGGTGCCGGAACTCACACATGTTATATAACCTGCCTTGCCTACCCTACAAGGTTCCATCCAAAAAAGGTGCCGGAACTCCGTTCTGGGCGTTCTATGACAAAAAAAGCCCTGAATAAAAGTATGCTATACAAAATATATTGTATGCTTCTGTAATTCAAATCTGCTTTCTGGGTGTCTGGGGCCCTTACACACACACACACACACATACACACATGGATTATAAGTTCTTGATCATTTTTTGAGCAGAGGATTATTTTCATAAATGACATGTTGAGCCTGGTCAAAATATATTCATTTTCCAATTTCAATAACTTGAAAAACAAGAGAAGCAAACAGAAATATAGATGGAAAAGAAAAGATTCTGTTAACATCTTGTTTTTTTGGTTTTGGTATCTTTGACTCAGTTTTAATTCCTGGCTACTGTCTGGACAAGTCTCTACAGTTTTATTGGCAAGATTTATTGGCAAAATAACAAAAAAAAGCTTCTTTCAACATGTAAAAAAAACAAGAAAAAAGTGAAGGAAATGATTGGTCCATTAGTGGGGGAAAGTGGCAAGAAGGTGACAAGCAACAGGGAAAAAGCAGAACTATTTAACTCATTTTTTGCATCTGTCTTTACACAAAGGGAAAAAACAGACCAACCTATCAAAAATAGTGCCATAAAAAACAGTATAGAAACACAAGTTAAGATAAAATGATAAGTGAGCACCTGTCCAGCCTAGACGAGTTCAAATCACCAGGACCAGATGGATTACACCCCAAGGTTCTCAAGGAACTGGCAGATGTGATCTCAGAACCACTGAACTATATTTTTCAAAGATCCTGGAGCACAGGGGAACTACCAGAGGACTGGAAAAGAGCTGATGTAGTTCCCATCCTCAAAAAAGGAAAAAAAATGGACCCAGGAAATTACAGACCTATCAGCCTGACCTCAATACTTGGGAAGATCCTGGAAAAGATAATCAAACAACGAATCAATGAACACCTAGAGGCAAACAAAGTCATTACTAAAAGCCAACATGGGTTTGTCAAAAATAGATCATGCCAGACAAACCTTATTGCATTCTTTGACCAAATGACAAAATTAGTGGATCAGAGGAATGCTGTGGATATAATTTACTTGGACTTCAGTAAGGCATTTGATAAAATAGATCACTACTTGATAAGATAGAAAAATGTAGGTTAGACAGCATCACCACCAGATGGATTCGGAGCTGGCTGACCGGCCGTACTAGCGTGTGGTCCTCAATGGAACCACATCTACATGGAGGGAAGTGCGTAGTGGGGTGCCTCAGGGCTCTGTTCTAGGCCCAATGCTCTTCAACATCTTCATCAATGATTTGGACGAGGGGATAGATGGGGAACTCATCAAATTTGCGGATGACACCAAGCTGGCAGGAATAGCCAACACTCTAGAAGACAGGCTTAGGATACAGGAGGACCTGGACAGACTTGAACACTGGGTGCTATCTAACAAAATGAAATTCAATGGTGAAAAAAGTAAGGTTCTACATTTAGGCAAGAAAAACCAAATGTACAGGTATAGTATAGGGGGTACCTTGCTCAATAGTAGTAACTGTGAGAGGGATCTCAGAGTCCTAGTGGACAATCACTTAAATATGAGCCAGCAATGTGCTGCAGCTGCCAAAAAAGCCAACACAGTGCTGGGCTGCATTAACAGAGGGATAGAATCAAGATCACGTGAAGTATTAATACCACTTGACAATGCCTTAGTAAGGCCACACTTGGAATACTGCATCCAGTTTTGGTCACCACGACATAAAAAAGATGTTGAGACTCTAGAAAGAGTACAGAGAAGAGCAACAAAGATGATTAGGGGAATGGAAGCTAAAACATATAAGGAACGGTTGCTGGAATTGGGTATGTATAGTTTAACGAAGAGAAGGACGAGGGGGGACATGATAGCATGATGGATAAATGATGACATCATCATCATCATCATCATCATCATTATTATTATTATTATTATTATTATTATTATTATTATAAAATGAGGACCCAGATTGTTGGGAACAATATGCTGAGTTGGTAAACCGCTTCGAGAGGGCTGTAAAGCACTGTGAAGCAATATATAAGTCTAAGACTAAGTGCTATTGCTATTGCTACCAAGGCAAATACATACTACAGAAGGTAACATGAGGATAAGCTCAAAGTTATATCTTGCTATCAATCTGAATTGCTCTACTAATTCTATTGTTTTGAATTGATTGAGCTGGTTTTACTGCTACACTAGGAGTTTTACAAGCTGTTACGTTGCCAAATCTAATCTGCTTATTTATTTACCATCTGCTAATGATAACTATCCAGGTAGACTACTAAATCCCACATGCATGTGAAAACAAAGGGTAGAGAATGTAATCACATTGCTAGGGACTTGAGCACCCTCTGTTGGTGGAAAGGCAGGATATA